TCAAACATGTCTCCTCTTCTGGAGCTTGAAACCCTGATTGTGGCTCCAATATATCTTCATTATTCCATGAGGTGTTTGGATCAAAATGGCATGTATTGGGATAAGAATTATACTGCTGACTATAAAACTCAAAAGAAAAATCAACACACTTGTTATGTTGTTTAAATAAGCAATCAGAACTAAAATGGTCTAATCCACACCATTCACAAGTGATATTTGATCGTTCTATTCGAGTCTTCCTTAATTTGATCCTTTCAATGACTGCTTGAATTCGTTCAAGTTCATCATTGTCAAGTTCTGCATCCCAATTGATAGTTATTGCTTCAACTTGTGCTCTCATCTCTGGCGCAAGCCAATGATAACTCATATAAGTACCTATGGCAACTCGATTCATAGTTAGACCTATAAAAACAAAAACAAAGAAAACAGAAAAAAAAAATCAAAGTAAAGAAAACGTTCAAATTAAATCTAGAATTAACCAACTCTGATATTAATTAAATCAACAATCCCCGGCAACGGTGCCAAAAACTTGATGCACTAAAATCAGCCTATCAAGTGTACTAGTCGCTCCAAGTAATATAATGATGAGAAGAGTGTTGAACCCACGAGAATTGTGTCTAACTAAGTATTAAAATAATTAATCCAAATTTATTTGAACAACCAAATGGGAAGAAACTTTAATTAAAAATAATAAAAAGAAAATAACAAATAAACCTAACCAAAATATGAGGCACTAAGGCATTGATTTCACCATAATCAATCAATATAAATTCTGGATTAATATACTTTCAAAACCAATTTATTGAGTGTTATTGCATGTGATGACGGATTTCCCTAAATTAATTACTAGTTTTCTCAAGTCAAGGTAATCCTTCACTAGTTTGTTAAATTAATCATATCTCTATGTAATTTTAAACCAACTAATGAGCATTAAATTCTATGAAAACCTCTAGCTTAAGAAGGGGAAGCTCCTAACTCTCTTCTTTTCCTCCACTACCACATGTGAGCTAATTACCTCTCGGTCTCATAGTCTAGCACACGGTTTATATTATTATTGGTTTAATCTATGCAATTCTTTCTTCAGTTCATGCATAAATCACTAAATCAATTGAAAGGTGATCCGACTTCCAATGCATTAAGTCCAATAATATAAACTCCTCATGCGAATAACTTTAATTGAAATTATAAAATCACAAAATCTATATTAAATTGATTAGGCTACATCATAGCCTTAATAAAATAAATCAGTTCATAATAAAAAAATAAAATATGAAATCAAAGTTATGAATATTCAAATATCAAACAATAGATAAAAACCCAAGGAAAAACAAAACCCAATTTGAGGAAATCGAACTTCTTGATCTTTTATGGTTGAATCCTTTCTCTTGATCTTCAAGAATGCCCAAAAGAGGGCTACCACCAGCCTCTCAAAACTCCCCTTAATTTTGAATTTGGATGGGTATTTATAGGATTTTAGAAACCATAATTGAAATAGAAGTAGGACTTGGAACAGAAATAGGAAACTGAATTTTGGATGCTGATCGCGTGGTGCTGATACTTCGGATTACGTGTTGACACAAAATAAGAAACATAATCTGATTTTGGACGTTTAACGCATGGTGTCGCCACCCTGGTTACGTGTCGACACTACACCCGTGTCGGGTTTCTGGTCTCCTTTTGCAATTTCTTCAATGGTAAAATAGCAGATTTGGTTCCTGACTTCTGGATTTTGCACAAGTTGATCCTCAAGTCTCTGATCTCTTCAATTTACTTCTAAAAAGTAGGATTTCTTCCAATTAAATCCTTTCCTACACAAAAAATGAAAACCATGTAAAATCAAACAAAATCCCATAAAACTTATCCAAATATCAATAATATCAAATTAAAAATTCCCTATTAATATGTATATAAATTAAGCTCATCAAAACACGTGATGAAGTGTTGTGAGGTCTTTTTATTTTTGTTTCTAACATTCCTTGTAGGTTTCAATCATGTCAAGCAGTGATGATAAATCAACCATTAAAAAACACCATGTGGATGAATCCTTCATGCTCAAAGCAATGCAACAACAATTTCAAAAGCTGAACATCATGTTTGGTGAGATTAAAGACAAAATGGAGAAGCAAGATGCAGCTATAATCAAGCTATACCAAATACAAAATGGAAGTCCAAATTTGGGTAGGAATGATGCTAATGATGATTAAGATGACGATTATGAAGATGCATTCAACAATGATGCCCAGAACTCAAATTATAGCATAGACAGAATTATGAGAGGTAAAGGGGGCCAAAGAGGTAGGTTTAACCAAAGAGAACAAAATCTACCAAGGTGGGGAGATCGGCAAGATCATGACTTAGGCAGCATCAAGATGAAGATTCCTCCATTTCAAGGTAAAAATAATCCAGATGTGTATTTGGAGTGGGAAAAGAAGGTGGAGTTGGTGTTTGATTGCCTAAACTATTTTGAAGAGAAAAAGGTGAAATTAGCAACAGTAGAATTTACTGATTACGCTGTGGTGTGGTGGGATCAGCTTGTGCTTAATTGACGTCAAAAGCATCCTGTTGACACTTGGGAAGAGATAAAAGCTGTGTTGAGAAAATGATTTGTTCTTAGTCACTACTACCACAATCTCTATAAATGAGTGCAGGGCCTTACTCAAGGGTCCAAAAGCATTAAGGATTATCACAAGGAGATGGAAATTGCAATGGTTAGAGCAAATGTGGAAGAGGACAGAGAAGTAAATATGGCACAGTTTTTGCATGGTTTAAATCATGATATAGCTAATTTGGTGGAGATGCAGCATTATGTGGAATTAGAAGATATGGTGCACATGGCGATGAAAGTAGAACGGCAACTCAAGCGTAAAGGAGCCACCACCAAAACTGGACAAAATTTAGGTTCCTCATTTTCATGGAAACTAAATTGGAGCAAGAAGGAAGAAAATTCTACTTTTAAGCCTAAAACGATAGCATATAAGTCAAAAGAAGTTGGCAACAATGAGAAGAGTAAAACTGACAATACACAAGGTAGAAACCGAGACATCAAGTGTTTTTGATGCTTGGGAAGAGGGCATGTTGCATTGTAATGTCCTAACAAGCATACGATGATCTTGAGAGAGAATGGAGAAGTTGAAATCGAGGGTGAATTTGATGATGACTCTATGCCACCATCAGAAGATGCTGATGATGGCGTGGAATATGCTGTTGATGGAAAACTGCTCGTCACCATGCGAGCTTTGAATGTGCAAGCCAAAATGAGATGATGAAGTGTAACACAACAACATATTTCACACAAGGTGCCATATCAAAAATAAGGTATGTAGTGTGATTATTGATCGTGGTAGTTGTACTAATGTAGCTAACACTGTTTTGGTTGAAAAGCTTAATTTAACTATGACGAAGCATCCAAGGCCATATAAGTTGCAATGGTTAAACAATTGTAAGGAAATCAAGGTAAATAAGCAAGTTATGGTTTCATTCTCTGTTGGACAATATAAGGATGAGGTACCTTGCAACGTGGTTCCTATGCATGCTGGACATTTACTTTTGGGGAGACCATGGCAATATGACAGGAGAGCAATACATGATGGCTTCAAAAATCATTATTTGTTCATCACGGAGGGGAAAACAATTACTCTTGCACCATTGAGTCCAAGGCAGGTTTATGAGGATCAACTAAGAGTTAAAAAAGAGAGTGAGCTGAGAAAAGAGAGTGCGCTTGAGGGTATGAAAAACAAAGTGAAAACAGTAGAAAAAAAGTCTAAAAAGAGAGAAAAGATTGAGTGTTGACAACGTAAAGAGAAAATCAGTGAGTGTTTACGCAAAAGAAATTGATGTTAAGGTTGCGTTTCTTGCAAAATAGCCTATGTTTGTGCTTTTGTACAAAGATGCTTATTTCAATGCTAACGAACTTAACGATTCTTTGCCTAGTGTTGTTAAATCTCTTTTGCAGGACTTCAAGGACGTGTTTCTAAAGGACATTCCTAATGGTTTACCATTAATAAGAGGAATCGAGCATCAGATTGACTTCATTTCAGGTGCAACAATTCCAAATTGACTAGCATATTGAAGTAACCCCAATGAGACGAAAGAACTTCAAAAGCAGATTGAAGAACTCATGAAGAAGGGACATTTGAGAGAAAGCATGAGTTCATGTGTAGTTTTAGTGCTACTTGTGCCTAAGAAGGATGGAATTTGGCATATGTGCGTTGATTGTCACGTGGACAACAAAATCACTGTAAAGTATCGTCACCCTATTCCTAGATTAGATGACATGTTAGATGAACTGCATGGTTCTTGCATATTCACTAAAATTGATTTAAAGAGTGGGTATCATCAAATTAGGATGAAGGAAGGAAATGAATGGAAAACAGCCTTTAAAATGAAACATGATTTATATTAGTGCCTAGTACATTCATGCAGTTAATAAATCGTGTTTTGCGTGCTTTCCATTGGCAAATTTGTGGTTGTTTACTTTGATGACATGCTGATATATAGTAAGAGTTTAACTGATTATATTGAGCATTTGCAAATGGTACTTGAGGTTTTGAGAAAAGAAAAGTTGTTTGCTAACCTTAAAAAGTGTTCCTTTTGCACAAATCAAATTGTCTTTTGAGGGTATGTTGTTTTAGCTGATAGAATTGTAGTTGACGAAGAAAAGGTTAAGGCTATTAAAGAATGGCCAACACCTAAGAATATTTTTGAGGTGCGGAGTGATCATGGTTTGCCGAGTTCCTACTGGAGGTTCATCAAGGACTTCAGCATAATTGCAACTCCATTGCTTGAAATCATGAAAAAAAGTGTGGGAAAGTAAATAGGAGAATGCTTTCAATTTGATTAAGGAGAATTTAATTTCTGCATCGTTACTTGCTTTACCTGATTTTACTAAAACTTTTGAAATTAAATATGATGCATTAGGTATTGGAATTGGCGCTATTTTGATGCAAGAACGGTGATCTATGGCATTTTTCAATGAAAAATTGACTGGTGCAACACTTAACTATCCTACCTATGACAAAGAGATGTACGCATTGGTAAAGGCCTTAGAAACGTGGTAGCATTATCTTTGGCCTAAATAGTTCGTGATACATATTGATCATCAATCGTTGAAGCACCTAAAGGGACAAGGTAAGTTGAATAGACAATATGCTAAGTGAGTGGAATTCCTTGAGACATTTCCCTATGTGATCAAGTACAAGCAAGGAAAAGAAAACATTGTGGTTGATGCATTACCTTGCAGGTACACACTTATTTTTACTCTATGTGCAAAGTTATTAAGATTCGAGCACATTAAAGAATTTTGTGATAATGATCTAGATTTTGCTAACATGTTTAATGCATGTGAGAAGGCAGCTTTGGATAAGTTTTATAGGCACAATGGGTTCTTATTTAGAAAAAATAAATTATGTGTGCCTAATTGTTCATTAAGAGAATTGTTAATAAGGGGATTACATGTGAGCGGCTTAATGGGACATTTTGGAGTTAGGAAAACTTTAGATATTTTGAATGATGACTTCTTTTGGCTACATATGAAATGCGATGTTGAAAGGATGTGTGAAAGATGCGTAACATGTAAAGAAGCAAAATCTAGAGTTTTACCACATAGTTTGTATACTCCTTTACCCATACCTATTGAACCTTGGGTTGATATATCTATGGATTTTGTTCTGGGCTTACCAAGGTCGAAAAAAGGTCATGATTCTATTTTTGTTGTTGTTGATAGGTTCTCGAAGATGGCACACTTCATTCCATGTCATAAAATCAATGATGCAACCAATATTGCTGATCCGTCCTTCAAGGAGGTTGTTCATTTACATGGTGTTCCAAGGACTATTGTTGTTGATCGCGATGTTAAGTTCTTGAGTTACTTTTGGAAGACCATGTGGGGAAATTTGGGAACTAAGCTATTGTCTTCGACCACTTGTCATCCACAAACTGAAGGACAAACAAAAGTGGTTAATAGGACATTGTCAGCTTTGTTTCATTCTATTATTCAGAAGAACTTGAAGAATTGGGAAGAGTGTTTGCGGCACATTGAATTTGCTTATAATCGAAGTGTCCATTCAACAACTAATTGTTCACCATTTGAAGTTGTGTATGGTTTTAATCCACTCACTCCTTTGGATTTATTGCCTTTACCTATTGCTGAGCGAGCTAGTTTGGATGGAAAAAAGAAAGCTCAAGTGGTTAAGCAACTGCATGAAAGAGTATGACACAACATAGAGCGACAAACTGAGTAATATGCAAATTAAGCCAAGAAAAGGTGCAAGAAAGTTGTGTTTATACTTGGAGATTGGGTTTGGGTGCATATGCGCAAGGAGAGATTCCCTTCACAAAGGCATTCTAAGCTGCAACCAAGAGGCAATGGACCATTTCAAGTGATTGCAAGGATTAATGACAACACATACAAGTTGGAGCTTCCAGGTGAGTATAATGTTAGTGCTACTTTTAATGTTTCTGATCTTTCTCCTTTTGATGTAGGTGATCGTGTGAGGACAAATCCTTTTGAGGAGAGAGGGAATGATGGGAATCAATATAATAGCACATGTACCATGTCAAAGGATCCATTACACATTCAAGGAGGTCTAGTCACAAGAGTTAGAGCTCAGGAGATGTGAGAAGCTTTAAATGGCCTTATTGAGTAGATTTGGGTGGAAAACAACATGCAACAAGTAAATCAAAGCTTAGATGATTATTATGGCATGGTAAACATCATTCTGGTCCAAGAGAAGCTTAATTAAGGTCATTCATACCGAATTACACAATTTGCATCAAACTTGCACAAATATGTTGCAATTTGTAGCAAACTAATATTTCATGTTATCATGGCATGGTAAACATCATTCAAGCCCAAGAGAAGCTTAATTAAGATCATTCATGCTAAATTATACAGTTTGCATCAAAATTGCACAATTTTGCCAGAATTTCTAGCAAACTGATATTTCATGTTATTTTAGGTGATTTTCATATTTTTTGTATTATTTTTAGGCTAAACATTCATTTATTTGAAGCTCAATTCATGGTTATTAGGTTTAGGGCTTAGGGTGTCAATTTTTTATTTTGATTAGGATTAGTTTTCCTTATTTAAAAAGCTTGTAACACTAATTGAGGTAGCTATTGAATTTGAGTATTTTGAGAGACCTTTCTCTTTGATTCGTTTCAGAACTTTACAGAACTTATCAAGATTATTCTTGTAGTGTTCTAACCTGACTTATAATCCTCGTTCTGAACCATTCGAGGGTGTGACGTCAACCAACTTTATACCTTTGGTTCTTATTGCGTCGTAAACAACGAGTCAAGGTTTTACATTTGGTTCTTGTTGCGACATAAACAACGAGTCAAGATCCTATTATAAACCTAATTTAGCTTTCTTGGAGTTTCAAAATCCCTTGTCGTGCTATGGGTCCCATTGTTCTCTTTGAGGTTCTCATCATTTTACCCTACCGAACCGGTACATTCATTGAGAAGCTTGCCAACATGTATATGAATGAGATAGTTAGACTTCATGGAGTCCCTATGTGCATTGTGTCTAATAGAGACACAAGATTCTTGTCTCATTTTTTGACAAGCTTGCAGCAAGCACTTGGCACTCATTTAAATTTCAGCATTACCTTCCATCCTCAAACTAATGGACAGTCCAAGAGGACTATTCAAATACTTAAGGACATGTTGAGGGCTTGTGTTCTTGATTGGAAGGGTTCATGGGATCAACACCTACCTATGGCTGAATTTGCATACAATAATAGCTATCACATGGCGCCATTTGAGACTTTGTATGGCCAAAGGTGTAGATCACCTATTTGCTAGATGGAGGTAGGTGAAAAGAGCATTATAGGCGTAGAATTGGTACAACAGTCTTCTGAGATTGTGCAATTGATTAAGTAACGCCTCCGTACTACACAATGTAATAAGAAAAGTTATGTGAATCGAAAAAGGTATGACCTTGAGTATGAAGTTGGTGATCGTGTATTTTGGCAAGTGTCACCTACCCAACGTGTTCTTCAATTTGGCATTTGGGGGAAATTGAGTTCGAGGTATATTGGACCATATGCCATCCTAAAAGGGGTTGGCGAAGTAGCTTATAGATTAGAATTGCTAGGAAATTTAACGGGTGTTCATGATGTGTTTCATGTGTCCTTGCTTCGAAAATATATCCTCGACCCAAGCCACATCCTCGTTCCTAAACCCATTCAACTTTGAGATGATCTAACTTATGATGAGTACTCAATTCATGTTTTAGATTTTAGGGAAAAAACAATGTGAAGGAGGACTATGTGAAGGAGGACTATGTGTTGGTTAAGGTCCTTTAAGATAACCATTTAGTTGAGGAAACCACTTACGAGTTAGAATCTAAGATGAGGTAGGAACATCCGCACCTCTTTCAAGATTGAAGTACGTGTTTAGAGGACTAAACTCCTTTTTAGGAGGGGTGGATGTAATATCCCAAAATTTTCTAAAATCTTAAAATTTAAGTTAAGGATTTATGTGGAAAAATTATTATTGTTGGGCCTAATAACTAAAATTCCCAAACCTAAGGGGGGCTAAAACAACATCTGACAATAAAAAGGCAAAGGTTGATTTTGTTTTTCTCCCTGCCCTCTTGCGTGTTTTTTCAGACCCATAGCCCCTCACTAGAATTGCCAACTAGCCTAACATGTGCCTAGCTTGTTTTCACTAGAAATCAAGTGAGATTTAGTTCTTTTTCTTCCTTCCAAGGTTGATTTAGAGATTTATAGGTTTATGATTCTAAAAATCATGATCAAATCTAGATCTTACTATTGTTGTTTCTCCCAATTTCCTAGTCCATGTCAAGTAAATAGAGTAGCATAGGAGGTCACCATTTTTTAGCATTTTTTGATAAGAAATCAACCACGTGCTCATCATTTGATCTTTGATTTGAATTGGGTTAGCTCTAATCTTTTAAGGTTTTTAATTTTGGGATTGTTTCTATAGTTTCCTCCTTGATTTGTTGCCCATGATCTAGCACCACTGGATTTAATCCCTTTTGCTAGAAATTTTGACAACATGACCTTGCATTAGTTTTTTGCCCATAACTCTTTCTGTAGCTATCAAATTAAGTCCATTATTGATTTTATGGAAAGTTCAAAGATAGCCCTACAATTTTTCTATTGGACATTTAACCTAGTTAAGTTGTTTTTAAGGTGAAAACTCTACTGCAAGTTTCGTTCCTAAAAGGTGGACGGAACTGGCAGCTTGACCTTATGTTAGTATTATAACCATAACTTTCTCTGTAGATGTTGAATTAAGGTAATTCTTGATCCTATAGAAAACTAAAACATAGGGCTACAATTGATCTGTTAATCATTCAACCCAAATTAGTCAATTTTTAGGTGAAAATTCTATTAGAACTTCTAGTTTAGAATCTAAAGAAAACTTGCCCTCAAAAGTGCTTAGAAATTTGCTTTGTTTTCTGCTCTATTCCTACATTATCAATTGCCATATCACACCATGGTTTTACTAGACTTTAACTGTTGATTTCTACACAAAAAAACACCTTGTTAGTACTTGATTTTTTGCTGTTGAAATCCTGCTCTGTTCACCTTAGCTTTTTCCACTAAAACCTATCTTGAATATGTTTCTCTTGTTTAAATATTGTATGAAATAGTCCCAAACAACCCAAAATTTTAGTTATGGTTAGTTGCTATTTCAACTTGATATTTTTCTTGTTTTCATGCTAGAAGTATGCAATTATATTAGTTAAAATCTACTCTTCTACATCTGGTTTTGAATGTAGTTTTACACTTAAATTGTGTTGTTTTGTCTTGAAAATTCCTATTGTTTTGGCTACCTTTTTGCTGTTGCCTTTTTGTTGCTACATTTCTACTTAAATGTTGTCCATTTCGATGTAGTTTTGGCTTGTATTAAGCATTATTTTCACTGCTATTTAGGGCTTTTCCAAGCATTTTGGGACTTTTAAATGGCATAAATCCTCACCTTGCTGCCTAGTTTTTGTGCTACTGTTTGGGTAGATTTGAGCTTAGATTCTCACATTTTTCCACTTTATTCTACCTCGAAAATCTGTTTGGAATACTTGCTATTTCATGTGACATTTGGTGTTGTTTTAAGCTTATCCTAAGTATGATTAAACATATTAATATACTAGTAAGGTTCCAATTGGTAGAAGTGGCAAATGTGTGTAAGAAGAAATTGTTTCTTTGGTTAGGAACTTGATACTAGAATTAGAAACCAATTTAGTTAAATGAGGTATGTTGTGATATTGTTTATTCATTTGATGTAGTATAGGCTCTAAATCATCTCAATAGCCTTGAGTTCTTGAATTCTTACTTGTTGTATACCTACAAGGTGAGGTAAGTAAAATTATAGTAAATGCCTTTGGATTTTTAAGGTAAAGGTTTTAAAACATATTTTAAACTACTTTTGAGATGGTGGCAGGACCTAAACTGATTTCCATTAGCACGAGCATGATTATTTTGAAATGAAGTTGTTATTATTTTTATTGAGCTGAGCATGCTTACATGAAATTTACTTGTTTATTCTGGAATCTAAACTTGGTTTGTAAATTATGAATTTTCTTGTTAACTCCTACATGGTTTTGTCTCCCTTATGATCATGATTCCTAAAGCCCGCCAGTAGGAGTTGTAAACACTAGCACATGTCAACATGCATATCTATAGGACCAGTTCATTCTATATTTATGTTATCCTGCCAATAAAAACATTGGTATTTCTATTATTTTGCCAATGGGAGAGTACACTAGTATTTCTGTTATCCTGCCAGCTGAGATAGTACACTGGCCATGACTAATTAAGGGGACCACTAAGTAAATTCTATCATGCATAAATGGTTTACAACTGAGACTTTCTTCCTATTTAGATTTAAAATGTTTACCTACCATGCTTTAAATTTCAATGAGGACTATCCATATTTTTACTTATGGAATTTTCTCACATAGTTTTCCTTGTCCCCCATTTTAGGTAGCAAGACCAAAGATGTAGGAAACCAAGGGGAGTGACGAGCTAGAAGGCTAACCACTTATGTTTTGGATTTAGTTCATTTTCGAGTTAGGTCGCTAGTTAAATTATTTTTGGACATAGATGTTGGGATGTAAATTATTCTTCTTTAGATTAGATTCCCTTGGAGATAGTTACGACTTTATTGATGAAGTTGTATAATTTTGTGCAATTTGGCCTAGTCAAACTTTGGTTATTGAAAGCTAGATTTTACTTGAGATTTTTTATCTAAGTTTATGTGGATTACTAGTTATGAATTAAGTAGGTTTGAGCCCTTATGCATTTATGGGAGTTTCTCACAAGTGCACAAGTTTGTTTTGCTTCCAGTTTTTGGGCATGACAAATTTATAGATTTAATACATAAAAGCAATTACACAAAAATAGATATGAGCAAATGCTTTTCAAAAGCTTTCTAAAAATAATAAAATAGAACCATCATTTTGGTAACACATCAATTTACTTTCACAACAAAAGCAGTGAAGTCATAACTTCTACGTATGGCGAGCATACATAACCTATACCAAAAGCTCTCAAGCTTGGCGACTACCACTTCAATCTACTAATCTGAAATGTGGGGAATAACATGAGTTAAAAGCTTATAAATATTAAGTTAAAACTATATCCTAGGACCATTAAACTTACACACTCAAAAGGCATAATATACAATTAAGCCAAGTCACATAATATTATAAGTCTTATTATTTAAATAACAGCTTAGCATGTTATAGGTTAATTCATAAATAATCAAATATGTCAAAGAAAA